TTGACAAAAACCATGAAGAGACAAGGTAATGGTAATTAAATAATAAAATAAATAAAAATAAACAGATGTAAGAAAAGTAAACACAAGATACAATCTGAGAAATTTCTTTTATACTGGAATGAGCAAATTCCCAACATCTATATTTAATCCCAAGGCAAGAACTGGTCTATGATTATTATTATTAATTTGTTTAGAAGTATTATTAATAATATATGTATAATCTAATATGTAGTTAATTACATAACACATATAATGTCCCTCCTTTCTGCACTGTTATAAAAACGAAATAACAAATTTCAAGAGAGTTAAACTATTAATAATAAGTAATCATAAGTAATAATTATCACTTTAAACCTTTTTAAATTGTAAATTCTAATTAAGATTATTGCTTAAACTTGCAACACACACTGGACCGTATAATTTTATACACAGGATGATCAAATCAAAGGTTATCAAATTGTTTCATTTTTTTCATGAATTACAATCCACATTTTTAATTTTATAATAAATATGCAAAGTTGCTTAGAAAGGGCTTATTTTATTCATGATTCAGAAAGATATTAGATGGGGAAGAAAGATTTCTCATTGCTTTAATTTAGTAATTTAATTATAAATGGAAAGGAAAAGCAATGCTTTAAAACAATTACAAATGGTCTGATCCAAGTATTGCTATTATAACTTGTTGACCTTATCTCTGTACATGAAATTTAAAAATATAACTATACAAATTGAGAAATTTTAAGTAACTTGAAACAATATGAAGAGAAACTGAAGAAAATTCTTTTTATTATTAATCTTATTATTCAGAAAACTTGAAGGCATAAATTATTTTCCAACATTTTTAATGATCTTACGAATTGTCAAAAATTGATTTTAAAAATTAAAAATAATGAGGACTTACCTTCATTGACCAACCATAACATTTTCTGTAATGAGCCCAGCTTTTGACATGTTGACTAGCAGATACTTCACTTACAAAAAATTGTTTGCATGCTGAACATAAAATACCATAACATTTGCTTATTGTCACCAACTCTGGAATTAAAAATGAGTTTATAATTCACCACTCTGAAATATCTATTAGACTTACAGCAAACGTATACGTTAAGAGATCCAAAAAGAGCAAACCATTTGCAACCATTTTTTAAAGCTTTCTATAAAAAGCCAACCAAAAAAAAAAAAAAAAAACACACATTTGAAAAACATTTTTTCAATTAAAGTTGAAAACAAAGCTGGAGAATTATTGCAAATTGCAAGCTTTTTGTTAAATCTAAAAATTAAAAACCTTAATATTTCTTGGCAAAATGTTGAATCCAAGAATACTTTTGGCATATAATGCAAATACGCATTTATTTTGCATATTTTAGAGGTTTTGGGCATAAAACTATAATGGCATGCACATTTTTAAGGTTTTTGTGCAAAAGAAAACATTTATTTTAAGTAAAAATTATTTTTTAATCCAAAGCATACAATTTATTGATGATTCTAACAAACATATACAAAAACTCTCAATGACTGACAGCAAAGTGAAATTGATAGGATATCAATTAAATGTAAATTAATAAAGTCAATTAAATAGGATATTGAATAAATGAAAAAATTGGAAGATAATTATCAAAAGAAAAGATACATTCCAAGGGTACCTGCCTCTCAGAGAATGTATTTATTACAAACTTGTCAAAATGCAAATGCTCCTACCATATCATGGAATGGTCATGGATCAGACTTTTTCAAAATTTAAGATGATATGCTTTGCTGAGAGAAGGTGTTTCCTAAGAATAGAAAATCTTAATAAAATTTTAAGATGCTTTTATGTTTGTAGGTTCCTAATGCAAAATAAAATGGGAAGAAGTATACATTATTATTTTGAATATACCCTCTCTCACTCTCTACATGATAAAGAGGTGTCAAAGAGACTCCAAACACTGCGTATTTTAAACACTTTATAGCATATTTGCAGGTGCAGATCAGATCCACAGGGAGGGAAATGAGGGAAATTTCCTCTCTTAAAATCTTTCAAACAATTAATTTTAACTTGTCACGAAGCTTTCAAGCAAAAATATACTCATATAATCATTAAAACAAATAAAATCATATCGCAGCATGAGCCGAATCCCCCTGCAACATTTAAAAAAATCTGAAAGATGACACATTCAACCAAAACATTTTCAATTTCCCCTCCAAAAACTTGTTTCTGGATCTGACCCTGATATTTGCATGCATACTTCAGGGCTAAAAATTTCATTTCATTCACTTCCGACTCTGATCATGTTCAAGAAAATGTAACTGATCAAATCTCAACAGAACAGAAAGTTTTAATTGTTTATTATTGAAAACACATTGCCAGAATATATTTTGAGGAAATTCAGAAATGTAGGGCCAGAAACACTAGACTTACAAAACTAAAATCTTACATAATGTATAAACAACATTTCATAATTGGTGTTCAAAAGCCAAATTATATATCAATCTTGTCATAATTTCAACAATTGGACTTTATCATTTTCATTGGAATATTAATTATAATAATCAGACAACAGGGCTGGAGTGGCAGGCAAAGTAGGTGAGCAAGTGTGGGGGCAGGTGGAAGGGGTGTTAGGAGAGTACTACCACTATAACCACTTCTACTAATTTTCTAATTACAAGGAAATCTTACTGTCTGGATATAACCATTGAAACTTGCTTTTTAAAGAAACAAAAGTTGGAGCCACTTTCATGGGATAATGGGATTAAACCTCCAGTAAAGTATAATTTATGAGATGTCTTAATTCACTCTTCAAAGTAAAAGTGACACAAGAAGGTTTGATAATGTATGATATGTTTAAATGATACCTGTAAATCTGACAATGCTTGTTTTGAATATCTTTAATGCTTTCTTTGTTTCCTTTTATTCTGGAGTAGTCATTAACAGCAAACATATTTATTTCTCCTAATGTTTAATTCAATTCAAATTGTTAGAGAATGAAATAATATTACTTACAACATATATTCACATTGCCAAACAAAAAAGTTTGTATTTGAAACTACTAAATTATACAAATTAATGTCATTAATAAATTAATCTACATTTTGAATACTATATTTATCAGATTAAATTAAAAAAATACTCAATGATTGAAAGATAGGTAATAAATTTTCAATAATCACAATTATTAAATAAATTACCATATTAGATATCATAAGTATGACCATTTACTGGAACCTATTTAATTGCCAATATTGTGCAAGTACTTGAGGTATGCTTTTTTGCTACAGCGTGTAACTTTTTCAAGCATCATTCTCAGTAATTTACTTTGTATTAAAGAATTGTCAGTATCTTAGAAATTAAACTTTATAGGCAGCATAGATTGCTTACCTTGAGAAATAGTAATTATAGGTAGCTACTCTTTCACTTCTTAAAAAACATTTCATTTTGTGACAGTTCAGTACAAGAAGTGCTTGTAAGAAAAATTGTCTAATGTAACCTTAAATAGGGCATACTCTTTTACACATTTAAATTGAATATATGTTTGTACTTTCAATAAGTAAACTATGAAAATCTTTCTTTTGAACAATTAAAACAATTAGTTTTTCACACTTAATCTAATGTGAAATAATGTAGACTGCAACGTGGTTTACACAAACATAACAAGAACAATGCAGTATTGAAAATTTCTCACCATTGTTTCTTATGTTCTCTTCTATTTCACTTGTACAAAATGCTTCAAAACAGTCTTCTTCATAAGAGCATTCACTTGCATAAAATGTACCAAGAATGTGATCATTACAATCTTTTTCTTTCTAAAATACAACAATATTGGTAAATTAACAAACATAATTCATTCCTTCTGTGTAGGGTTACCATACAGTTTTAGAGACAATCACAAATACAAAAATGGGATGGGGTGGGGGGGATATGCACTTGGCTATCCAGGTGACACTGCATCAAAAGCTGTGGTGCTAATGTTTCAACTAGGGCTGGTCTACCACAGGGCCAATGACCAAATTTTTGGCATAGCCACCTCTGAGCTCTCAATCCCAGATTGTTTTCATGCTAGCTTTCAAATTTGAATTCTTGACTGTCCAGGATAATCCAATGCCTTTGGTAACCCTACATACACGGGTTTTTAAGAATACAGAAGCATAAGAGATGATTAAATCTTCTTTTAGAAGTTGCAGCTAATATCCAAGTTAATTTTCTTGCAAACATATGTTTAATTATTATTTTAAGAGAAGGTTTTAAAATCAACCTACTCTAAAAGTGTGTCAAAATAATTTCACTTTATTACATAAGAGATGTTACATTTTATATAACTTCTTCTTTATCTGGAAAATGATCATTTCAGAAAAGTTTTACTGGAATAATTCAATGTGAACGTAAGAGCATACATTAAAAATAATTATCTTAATTATTAAGATACAGTTATGAAATAAACCTTTCTATTTCTGCAACAATTGTCAAATTGATGAGATTGTAAGAATTTAACTCGTCAACTTCAACAATTTATTCTAATAATTTCCATGGAAATAAAACAGATTATTTTGTGAAGTATTGAAAAGTATTTCAGAGTTTTGAACTTTCATTACAAAACAATAAAATTATCAGAAAGAAAATGTTCAATAAATTAATACAATTCATACAAAACAAGGTAAGGAAAAAAATTACTTCTTGACCAATGTATTCGGAACTCTCTGGTAGCCCCAAACCAGCAGATCCTTCTGGGAACTGTATTCAGAGAACTAAAGAGTAATGTCAAGATACTGATACCCATGAACAGGGAGAACTCTTAAGTAATGACTTTAAGTGAATATAAGTAATCATGAAATATAGGAATCTTTCTGCAATAAAATGTTTTTTCTGGAAACTAAATTTCTACCCAGATTTTATATAATACATTTCATTGAAAATGAAAGACTAAGAGGGGAGAATTAAAAACTAACTTTAACTTCAATAAGGTTCAACTTCAACTTTCCCCTGCTTTGTTAGTAAAAATACAACAACATAGAAAAGAAGAACCTACCTCTTGCAGTGCAATACAATAATGTTGATAATGAAATAAATTTCTAGCATGCTCTTCAGCAGCAATGTCATCAAGAAAAAATTTCATACACATCCAACATATAATTCCAGAACTCTTTTTGATAGCAGAGAGACCTGCAAATGAGTAAATTGTAATGGATGCTGCATAAGGGTACATAAGCGTGCAATCCAAAGTTATCTTTCCTAGACTTTGTCCATGACTGTGACTGATTGTGACTATGACTGATTACTGACAAACTACCAATTTTGCAAACTTGCGACACAAATACCAAATTAAAATTAATATTTTAAACCATGGCTTACAAATAACATTGACATTGCATTAGTATGTAATTTGTGAAGACTTATGATGAGGGGAGCACTGTCTGAATGAGTAGACATCTAGCCGTGTCCATCAGCGACCTGTTGTGTCTTCCAAGAAGTCCGTTCTGCTCCGGGGTATGAGGAGCCGTTAGCCGTCGGAGGATCCCATGTCTTTTCGAAAGGTCTTCAAAGTTCTCATTCACATTATCTGAAAACATTTCAGTTTCTTCCCCTGAGTTTCCATGGCGGCCCTAAATTAAACTCTTTCACAACTAGACTTTTCTTCTTCCTCATACTCACCTCGCACCAACTATTATAGATAAAGATGTAGAAGTAGCTGTTCCCACCTAATGAAATGACATGCGTTGGGCCAAAAAACATCTGAATGCACTAGCTCACATATTTCCGTTTTCTTGTCGGAAACCGGGAACGAGGGTCGGCTCATCGTTCCTTGCATACATGTTCTCCATTTGAAGCCAGCATTAAGATAGTTGATTCTGAATCCTAACAATCGTATGGACTTCACGGCCTTGCGCACGTCGTAGAGATTTAAATGCCCTAGATGAATATGCCACTCTTCTAATGAGTTTATTCCTAGGCTGCTAGGTTGATTGTTTTCTTCAATAATTCTCTTGCATTCGGGACCATTTTGGCTACGAAAATAGTACAGGTCATTCACCCGATTTGCAGTAAATAATAACTTTCAGCCGCCATTGATAACTTCGGCTTTTGTTTGTCCGAAAACGACAGTGTTCCCTTTGTTAGTGATCTTGCTAACCGATATCAAATTGCTTCGTAAGTCAATAACAAACGTGTTCTGAAGGCTGATCACTTTCTTGCCGCCGTTTGCATTTAAAATAGTCGATACACTACCATTACTTTTCACCTCAGTATTTAAGTTACTGACTACGTTGACTTCACTGTCTTCGCACATATACGAAGTGCATCCACTATCGAGACACCAACCGTCGCTACTTACGCCGTTTCCGGTTAGGAAACACTTGCTTGTCTCTGCATTCGATAAAACATTCAGGAATATGTATTCCTCACTGCTTGCTAACTGTTGCGTTGACTTTTTTGGCTGCTTGCTATTCCTTGCGCTGTGTCCGACTTCTCCGCAATTGTAACATTTCATTCTTGCGCGTCTTTTCTGATCCCCGTGTTGATCGCGTTCTGGTTTATGCTTCGACCGTCCTCATTTCGATCATCGAACTCCTCTCCGATCGTAATACGCAAGTTTTCGCGTGTAAGCCACACGTCACGCGAGTTTATGGCGTACCGAACCTTTTCGAAGTCGTCTGGTAGGCTGCTTAACAGTACGATAGTCAATAAATATTGATTGATATGTACCTCCATTTCTGCAACACACTCCTGTCTACCACATCGAAGAATTCTTGGGTGTGTTATCTAGCGTCACCCCCATCGTTCATTTTCATCGAGATGAGCTGGTTTAGATGGACGGCCATTTGTGTGGATCCTTTGGACTGATATATTTCTTATAACTTAGTCCACAGGGCACGAGGTGTGTCACATTCTTTAATTTCCTTAATCTCGGATGGTTGGATTGCAATGACCGACCGATTGGAAAACACATTTCCAATCCTCATTGATCCATGTTTTTTCTGCGAGTGCGTTGTCTGCCGTCAACTCGGGCTTTACAATTGCGCCGCTCACGTAACCCCATACGCCATTTTTAATTTATATGACACACATCTTCATCTTCCAAGTATCGTAGTTCTCTTTGTTCGTGTTTCGAATTTTACGCTTGACGTATTCATCGTTCAAGACGAGGTATTCTACTTCCAATACGATAATCGTTAACTATTTTCTGCGTGGTGTTATTATGTAGGTTCGGACCCACAGGTACACGCAACTTTCATGAGTTTGCCCGTCCGTCAGACTGTATTATACAATGTAAAAACATAAGTACTGAAGAAACTTATTCTTTGGTATTTGATTTAATTAACAAAAATATTAAAATAAATATCCCGTCAAATATTGTTGATTATATCTAATACACGTTAAAATTAAATAACATAACTTATGAATAAATTCAATTAAAATGATTTACACATTGTTATACTTTATTCGCAAATTCGCCAATTTAACCAATATGTAATGAAATTGTGTGTTTGAAAATGTCACACAATGATTTCTCATTCAATTTCTATTCAGAAATATGTAGTTTTCCATGATTTTGGCGAAAGAAAAGAGTTATAAAATGAGTAAAATAAAATAGGCATCTCTACAACCGTGTGCACCCAATAAAATCAATGAAAAATGGTTTCAGATACAATTCGCCCCCCCCCAAAATGTTTAATATTATGAAAGTATATCTAAAAAAAATACTTATATTGTTGTTTGATAATTTTAAAAATATGAGCAACATAAAATTTTTAATTTTTTATAAAAAATTGACTTTTTTAAAAAAAACGATTTTTTGACTTGTAGTGACTAAAATTTTATAATTTGAAAACGCCACCAATCTAATCTTTGATATATTTTCATTCAGAATTAATGTATTTTGGAGTGTTTTGCGAGGTAAATTGACTCATTATGAGTAAAACAAAATTAAGTATGTCTAAAATCGCCTTTTATCCATTCAAAATCTATTGCTTGTAAAAAAGGAAAATTATTAAAGTAGAAGGCTGAAACTGGCAAATAAATCTTTGCAACATATCAAACAAAGTTATTGTCGTTTTTAAAATATCTGAGATGATCGGGTGTGCAGTCGTGCTGAGTTCGCATGGAATTACCCATATATGAGATTATATTTTTCTTCTCTCTCACTTCCATATGTTTTGTTTTGTGGAAATTGATTTTTAATCCAGCTTTTTTGTACGTTTCCTCAAGATTTCATATTATATACACTAAGTCAAACTTATCATTAAAGAAAATCATCTGGTCGTCAGCAAATAATAATGTATGAATGGCCGTCTTCTTCAATGTTATATTTTTTCATACCTCGTTACTACACTTTTAGAATTACTTGCATGTAAATATTAAGCAATTCCTTTCCATATTTTCGAAAAATTAATGACCTTATTTGAAGATGTTTTTGATGAACACATTTCATTAAGGAAAATAATATATCTTCACAATTGTAGTTGTAGGAAAAAACCCAAAAAATGTTAATGTTTTCAATTTTCGAAAAGTGAGGGTATCTACGAACCTGAAATGACCATTCTCTTAAGCGTTTTTTACGCTATTTACGATCAAAATTTAATCAAAAAAGTTTGCCTTTTTTAAGGAAAAATGCTTCAAAGAAAATAGTGTCGAACACAAATTTTCGCAAAAAAATACTCCAATTTTTGACAAACTGAATATGACTGTTTGAAGATGTTTTGATGAACACATATCATTAAAAATATTATCTTAATAATTAATTAAAAATGTTATCTTAATAGCTATAGTTGCAGTTGCAGGAGGACGCCGAAAAAAATTATCTCTTTTAAGTGGCCATCCATAAATTACGTATTGCAAATTGCGAGTATTTTGAATACCCTCTCTCCCTTTTGTAGAGCAATTAAATTAGTTTTTGCGTAATTAATTAGCAATTAAATTGCTCTACAAGATGGCATCTTTGGTTTTGTGGTATGTCCATTATGGTAGTGTCAGCTTAATCTTAAGCTAGCTCGTAATTAATTACACAAAAAAATTAATATTTGCGTTATTAATTAGTAATTAAATGGTGGCATATTTCGGTTTGTGTAACCGATTGTAGCAGTTAAAAGAGGTAAAAAATTGAATGTTTGCAATTTTCAATACTCCACATATTCAACGAACTGTACCTTTCTCTTCAGCGTCTTATACGCTACGCGAGGTCAAAATTTTATCAAAGTTGTTGATCTCGTGTTTAAGAAAAATCTGGTTTAAGAAAATTAAAAATAGCAAAATAACGGGAAAAGTATTTAAATTTTCACAAAATTGCACGTGGCCTTATTTCAAAATCTATCTTTAAAGAACATATTTCATTAAGGGAAAAATCTCTATCTCGATTATTTTAGTTGTAGGAAGACAACTAAAAATTTTGAGCTTTTATAATGATCGAAAATTCAAGGTTTTCAACGAACATGAGACCTGCACCATTCTCTTAAACGTCTTTCACACTATCTAAATAAGAATGAAAAAGGTTGGAACTATATTTTTGAAAATTTTGAAAATGTCCCTGGGGCTTCATGTAATGTAGGTCAGAAAATTGAAATATCAGTTTCAAATTCAAGGAGTCGTGAGCGAGATCGATTGGGAAAAAATAATTTCAGAGAAAATCGGCTGAACGGTTTAGCCGTTATCGTTGTTCACAAATGGATAGACTTTTCGTAATCAAGGAACCACAAAACATGAATTCCGGCTACACCACGTGTTAGAGGAATTTTTCTAAATTTTGTAATTGGATTTATCCACTTTTTCGCTACCAGGGCCCAACAATAAGAGTTTTTCTGCCAAAAATTTGCCGCTTTTCCCCCGTAGTATTACATAACTCTCTCTCTACTGCAAAACCGGTAACGAGAAAGTAAAAAGAATACTCACCGTAGTGTTCCAACTGCATTTCTTCGTCAGATTCCCAACAGATATCAAAAGTTTTGGCATCTGATGAATTTGAATGTATCTGTATCGTCTCTACAATCGCTTCCGACATTCCGAGATCTATTCAACAAAAAAAATATATATTAGTAATTTGTTATACATTAATTGTTACCTTAACCTTAAACGTCGTAAAAAACATCAACAATATTGGTATTTTAATATAATACATTTAACAACATAGGGTAGGTCATTTCAGGGTAAAAATACACCAGTGTATTCCCCATAATAT